GCATCGCAACCTCCCAATCCGCCCTGCTCTGTGCATGACAGGGGGCGGTGCCCCAACTCCCCAATCGGCCCTGCTCTGAGCCCGACCAGGGGCTGCACCTAGGGATTGGCCCTGCCCTCTGCCACCCGGGAGCAGGCCTAAGCCAGCAGGTCGTTATCTCCCAAGGGGTCCCAGACTGCGAGAGGGCACAGGCAAGGCTGAGGGACCCCCCCTTCCCCCCGAGTGCACAAATTTTTGTGCACCGGGCCTCTAGTATATAATAAAACTGATATGTGTTACATCTTATTACAAGTTATCTTCTATACTAACAAAAGTGTAATATGCTAATTAGACTGGGTCAACCAGACATCTTCCAGACATCCGACTTCCTTCCGGACAAAGCCATGGTGGCAGGGGCTGAGGCAGTGTCTGTTAGGGGCGACCAGGCCAGCAGGGAAGCCAGCAGTTAGGGGCAATCAGGCCAGCAAGGGAGCAAGCAGTTAGGGGCAAGATAAGGCCGGCGCAGGAGATCAAGCTGTTAGGGGCAAGGGCAGCCGGCGTGGGGGAGCAAGCAGTTAGGGGCGATCAGGCGGAAGGGGAAGGCAGATAGGGGTGATCAGTCGGGCAGGGGAAGGCAGTTGTGGGCAATCGGGCCAGCAGGGCAGGGCAGTTGTGAGCAATCAAGCCATCCCAGGCCAGCAGAGGTGGGCAGTTGGGACAATCAGGCCGACAGGAGAGGGCAGTTGGGGACGATCAAGCCAGCAGGGAAGGGCAGCTGGGGGTGATCAGGCAGGCAGGCAGAGGTGGCTAGGGGTGATCAGGCAGGCAGGCAGGCGAGCAGTTAGAAGCCAGCAGTACCAAATTGTGAGAGGGATGTCCAACTGCTGGTTTAGGCCTGATCCCTGCAGTCGGACATCCCCCGAGGGGTCTCATATTGGACAAGGTGCAGGCTGGGCTGAGGGATACACACACCCCCTGCACAAATTTCATGCACTGGGCCTCTAGTCTATATAATAAAAGCCTAAGTGACTGTTATGGCAGAACAACTAGTCGCTATGATGCACATGGACCACCAGGGGACAGACATACTGGAGCTGCCCACTGGTGGTCAGTGCACTCCCACAGGGCTCACGACTGGCAAGCGCAGCGCTAAGGAGCAGCAAGCCAAGTGGTAAGAAGCAGAGAGCAAGCAGGTGGTAAGAAGCAAGGGGTCCCGGTCTGTGAGAGAAATGTCTGACTGCTGGCTTAGGCCTGCTCCCCTGGCAAGAGGGTGCAGGCCAGGCTGAGGGACATCCCTCCTCCAGTGCACAAATTTTGTGCACCAGCCTCTAGTATTAAATAATAACACATATTATTAAAAGCAACTATTTAGCTAGTTGTACCATACTTAAAATTATACATGCTATAATCTCATAATTTAACTTTAGTGAGTAAACTGAAATAACAAAGGCTAATTTATCCTTAAACATAACTGTTTATTTGATAGGTCCTAAAGTTAAGTTTTAATTCTCCCCTGAGTTTCAATCATAGAGAAACTATAAAAAGGAGGAATATTCTATAGCCTCAGCCTAACTCAACCTTTATCTTCAAAATCACCATCCTCTATCCTTCATTTATTCCCAGCTATAAACTTAAAAAGGAACAGTATTATTTTGTTTACTATTAAAGTATCACATTAAGAATGTAATGTTTTTTATTTTAAAATGTCAGACTAAATACTAATAAAGAACAAGATACTCAAATAGTTGGCACAAAATAATGTCTTTCCTCTTTTCCATATACCTTAACTTATTACAATCAGTGTCTTTCATAATTTGTTCCCAAATGAAAAAAAAACAAACCACTGGCATTCAAGTGTGTACTTACTAACCTTCCAGTAGTCAGACTGCAAATTGTAGTATCTCTGATATGCAGATAATGCTGAAAAAGAAAATAATTAGTAGTCAAATTATGTCCCTTTCAAAAATCCACAACACAGATATCAATATTTTAATATAGGATGCTCATCATAATGCTTCTCAGCAAAGAGCAAACACCAAATAATTTAGTATTTTTATTAATAACTTAATCACTTGTGGAGACAATAAAAATTATAATAGAAATAAATGATCTGTAGATCAGCTATATAAAACCATATAAAATCTCATAATTAAACAAACGTAAAATATTGGCAATTACTTCCAATCAACTTGATCTTTCTCACAGACTAATTCTCATGTAAATTTTCTAAAGTTTTTACATATTAAATGGAATCTTCTAATTTCTTCTCAAAATGCAACTTACTTTCCAGAAAGATAAAACCACTGCTACATCAAACCCTTATTTCTAATGTTTCCCTTCACATGATCAACATTACCTACACTACTAGCATCAATCTAATTCCAAGATGGTTATGTCCATGCTCTCTTACCCATCTAAAGACATTAAAGGTCTATAATCACACAAAGTAGTTCATGCCAGCCTGAAAAAGGTGCACATAAAAGTAAGAAGATAACAGAGAAATCACATACACACATTAGAATTAGTGGGGACAGTTAAAAAAAAAAAAAAGAAAAACAGGAGCTGGTCGGGTACAGCTTAGTTGTGTTCTCCTTATATGTCAAAGTTGTGGGTTGGATACAAAGTCAGGGCACATTCAGGAATCAAGCAATGAGCATATTTTGGTAAAAAACTTACCAAAACAAATAAAACAGGAAACTCAACAATGATTCAAATGCAATCAGAATGTCTCTTAATTTACTACTTAAAGTTCCCCAAGGAAGACTTTCAGACTAAAATACAGCTAGAAATGAACAATGGCTTAAAATCAAAATAAAATGAGGAAAACAGTATACTAAAGGAAGAGCAAACAATGGAAGTACTTCCTTACTCATGCTATGAGGCCAGATTTCCCTAAAACCCAAACCAAAGACATACAACTACATACAATATCTCTCATGTACATACCTGCAATAATCCTCAAATGAACACAGGCAAATTGAATCCAACAATACATAAAAAGTACCATATATGACACCAAGTTGAATTTATCCCAGGAATGAAAGGCAGGTACAAAAATAAAAAACATAGCACTAGCCGGTTTAGCTCAGTGGATAGAGTGTCGGCCTGCAGACTGAAGAGTCACAGGTTCGAGTCCGGTAGGAGGCACATGCCTGGGTTTCGGGCTCGATCCCCGACAGGGGGTGTGCGGGAGGCAGCCGATCGGTGATTCTCTCTCATCATTGATGTTTCTGTCTCTCTCTCTCCATCCCTTCCTCTCTAAAATCAATAAAAATATTTTTTTTAAATGAAAAACACGTAATGTCACATTAATATGATAAAAATAAAAAATCACATGATCATATAAAAATATAGACAATCATGTGACAAAATCAAACACCTATCATATATATGGCTAATATGTAAAATGTCCCCTCGGAGTTCGACTGGGAGACCGGGAGTTCAATCACTTGCTATGATGTGCACTGACCACCAGGGGCGGGGCGAAACAAAGGAAGTTCCTGGCTGGTAGCCAGAAGACCCTGACCAGCCCTGATCACCAGCCAGACCTAGGGACCCTACCCGTACACAAAATTCATGCACCAGGCTTCTAGTGATTAAAGAAAAACACACAAGACACTGAGAATCAAGGAGAACTTCCTCAATTTGACAAAAAATATCTATCAAAAACCTATAATTAACATCATATTTATTGGTGAAAAACTCAGCTTTCAGACTAAAATCAAGAATAAGGCAAGGATGTCCTGTGACACTACTGTTCTTCATCATAATCATAATGGAAGTCCTAGCTGATAAAATACAAGAAAGAGAAATAAAAAAATACCGATTGGGAACAAAGAAATAAAACTGTCTTTGTTTGAAGATGACTCAATTATCTATGCAAAAAATCTGAGAAAGAAAATTATATAATTACTGGAACTAATAAATTATATTAATGTTACAGGATACAAGACTTACATGTTGAAGAAAATATTTGCAAGACAAATCTGATAAAGGACTGTTATTAAAAATATACAGCTCTGGTCTGGCCAGAGTTGCTCAGTGGTTGGAGTGTCAGTTCAATTACGAAGGGTCTTGAGTTCGATTCCCAGTCTAGGGCACATACATGGGTTGCCAGTTTGAACCCTGGCCTGGTCAAATTAGGAGGCAACCAATCAATATAACACATTACTATTTCTTTCCTCCTCTCTTCTTCCCATCTCCCTCCTTTCTAGTCTCTCTATAAATCAAAGGGAAAAAATATCCTAGAGAACATGATAAAAAAAAAAAAAAAACCACCAAAAATCCTTAAAATTCAACCATTAGAAAACAAACCCAATTAAAAATGGGCCACTGAGCTAAGCAGACACTCTCCAAAGAAGATTTACAAATAGTAAAAGCAGCATATGAAAAGATGCTTCCTTCAACTCATATGCCATCAGAAAAATGAAACTTAACTATACATCCTATATAATAAAGAGGTAATATGCAAAGTAACTCTCACACCCTCACAAAATGGCTGCCTACAATCAGGCCAGCAGTGGGGGTGGTGAGGGACAACCAAACGACTGAACAGCAGGCTGTAGCGTGTCCCACATCAGGGTGGGGGGTCCCGCTGGGGTGCTTGGCCAGCCTGGGTGAAGGGCTGAGGGCTGTTTGCAGGTTGGTCAAGACCCCCAGTGGGGACCCTCACCCCATGGGGGTGTGGCCAGCCTGGGTGAGGGCTGAGGGCTGTTTTCAGGTGGCCATACCCCCTTCAGGGTGGGGGTCCCTATTAGGGTGCCTGGCCAGCCTGGTGAGGGGCTGATGGCTGTTGTCAGGCTGGCCACGCCCCCCGTGACCCAAGCTCCCAGCCTCTCCTCTTTTTTTTTTTTTCAGCAGGTACCTGGGATTTATTTATCTTCTATAACTGAAACTTTGTAGCCTTGAACGGAGCCCAGTGACAGCCAGGGCAGGCGGGAAGTGGCTTCCTCCATCACCAGGGGCAACCCAAGCCTCCTGCTCGCTCCAGCTGAATGGCTGCCGCCATCTTTGTGACGAGTGATGGTTAATTTGCATATTATTTTTATTAGATATATATGGAATATGCTAATTAGTCCAGATATGCTAATTAGTCATGACCAGTCAGGCACAGCCAAGGAGGGCCCCTGACTGGAGTGGCCAACAGCGCATGGGCCCACAGCACCACCCAGCCGTGGTTCGCGAGCAAGCATACCGTGCTACCTGTCCGGGGATCACAAGCAAGCACACCGTGCCACTTGTCCTGGGAGCACCCCCTATCAAGAGTGGCCAGCAGCGGGTCATGCATGGAAGCCCACAGCGCCGCCCAGCCAGAGGTCACGAGCAAGCACGCCGCACCACCTGTCCGGGGGTCGTGAGCAAGCACGCCGCACTGCCTGGCCAGAGAGCAGCTCCCAGTGGAACACGCCAGCCCACGGCACCACCGAGCCTGGAATCCGCCGGCCGGGGTTCACAAGCAAGCATGCCATGCTGCCTGTCCTGGGAGCAGCCCCCAGTGGGAATGGCCACCAGCAGGGGCACATGCGGGCCTACGGTGACGCCCAGCCTGGAGGCCAGATGGTTGGAGGTCTCTAGCAGGCCCGCGGTATCCCCACCCTGTGCTTAGGTAGTGCGGCCCCCAGAGGAAGTGGCCACCAGCTGTCTGCCTACAAGGCACATCCAATGTGCATCCCTCTCAGGTGCTGAGGTGAAGCTGCCTGCGTCCTGACCAGGGACGTGACACTGCCTGCCTGTGTCCCTGACCTCAGACGTGGCACTGCCTATGTGCATCCCCGCCCTGTGCTGAGGTGAACCTATCTGCCTGCGTCCCTAGACAGGTACGTGACACTGCCTGCGTGTGTCCCCCTGGGTCTTGCCCAGTGAGGGTGGGGTTTGCCGAGTCTGGGTTTAAGTGATTTTGAGGCGTGCACAGGTATTCGGGGTCTTGACTCTGGCACCCACAGCACACCCAACACTCTGACAGGAGGGAGGAGGGAGCCTAATACCCACACCCAGGACCCACACAGCAGGGCGGCGGTAACCGCATCCTTAGCGGAATCGGCCATTGGTTAATTTGCCTTCAGCAGCTTGACAGCCAGAAATCCCATTCACCCAGGACCCACACAGGAGGGTGACAGGAACGCATCCCTTGCAATTGGTTAGCTTGCCTTCAGCGGCCTGACAGCAAGGAATCCCATACACCCACACACAGGAACCACACAGTAAGGAAGCGGGAGCCTCATCTCTCGTGGAATTGACCACTGGTTAGCTTGATATCAGCAGCCTGACAGCCAGGAATCCCATTCACCCGCAGCCAGGACCCAGACAGGTGGTTATTGTTTATTTATTAATAAATTTATAAATTACTTTCATATATATTTCTCTAATTTTCTTTAATCTCTGACACTTCTGTTATAGAGAAAGGGCAAATAGTGATATTAAAATATTTCTTCTAATTAATTCCCTTTCCATGTGCACGAATTCATGCACCGGGCCACTAGTCCTATACAATAAAAGCCTAATATGCTAAGTGTCCAGTCATCTGGTCATCCATTCAACCAGTCAAAGCATGATATGCTAATGATATGTTAAGGCTACTCAACTGCTCACTATCACCTGCACTCACCACCAAGGGGCAGGCAGTTTACTTGTTGACCAGTCACTATGACGTGCACTGATCACCAGGGGGCAGACGCTCCAACTGGTAGGTTAGTTTGCTGGGGTCCGGCCAATTGGGACTGAGACAGGCTGGACACACCTTGGAGCCCCCCCACAGCCCCTTCCTGGCTGGCCTACCTCCCACCGTCCCTGACCCCCATCATGCACCAGTGGGGTCCCTCAGCCTAGCCTGCGCCCTCTTGCAATCAAGGCTGAGGGACCCCCAAACACACCCCAGTGCACAATTTTCAGGCACCAGGACTCTAGACCATATATATATAAAA